AAAAGGAAGGAAAAAATGACCAAAAAAAAAAAAAACCTAGCAAAATGAGAAAACAAAATGAAAATATTATCAAAATATCGTCAAAATCTTCTGTATTTTCAGAAGAAATTAAAATTAAAATGCCTGGGCAGATCCAGGGCAATTTCTAGGGGAGGTACAGTAGCTGTTGCCACCAAAAGCATCAAATAACATCTTTAGATTTTACATTCTTTGATGGCTATCCATTCCAACCCCTTTGGATCTGCCCTTGAGAATAATAAATGGCAATAAAGCATCAAATCTACAATAACTGTTATCTAGCAAAGCCAGCACAATCAGCATGCTGAAAACAAAGGAAGCAATGAAATTTTGTCTTTATGTCATTTCAGTTGCCGACTCCTACATTTACCATGTAGGATCAATAATGCAAGACCGTTTTTTACCTAATAATCTATATTCACTCAAGCAGGATTCTCAATAGGAATTTTGTATATACTACTGCTATACTATCGGAATACCTTATACTCTTTCTTGTCAATTATTACTACAGCTGATCAAGGAATCTTTTAAAGGAAGAGATAACTAGCTAAAAACTAGTGTGAGGGAGGGAGGCTGAGGCACTCTAGACAAAACTGCATCATGAACACAACTTCTTCAGGTAGAGCAAAAGAAAAAATCTCGTACATATCAAGGGCTAGGTCACTTCTTATTCTACATCTGTTTCTGGCTTCAAGACTCCCCTAACTATCTCTATGCACTATATTACTATTCTCACAAGGTAATAAAAATTTGTTAAGAATGAAACTTTTATGAAGAATTCTGACAGTGGTATTTAAATGACACTATGAGAACATGCTATAGAGGATTTTTAGTAAATATTATTAAATGTAGTCATTTAAGGTATAAAATTTGCTTGCTTTTCCAAAGATGGAAACAGAGTTTGCTTCAACTAAACGAAATGTATAACCTTGCTAAAACACCTCTACTGAGAATCCTGCACAGGACATTGACTGTGTTTGTACAACTTTTATAGCTTTACCCCTAACGATTTTCAGTAAGGAGTAAATGTATGTACACTTCACCTCCTGCTGGTTTAAAGATGGACACACTTTCTCTTCTTTCTTGTAGGCTTCTTTGGAACAAGAACTGCTCGTATTGCATCATCAAAGACTTTTTTGAGTCCCTTTTGGGTCAATGCTGAACACTCTAGGTATTGGGCTGCTTTTATTTCTTTTGCCATTTGAAGTCCGTTGGCATGGGACAGTGGAGATAGTTTCTTTTCTTTCAATTTTTCAATGGTGTCTTTGTCATCACGTAAATCTAGCTTAGTGCCGACTAGGATAATGGGTACACCTGGGCAGTGATGGCTTACCTCTGGGTACCACTGTATAAATAGAAAAAATTAATGAATGAAAAATACAAGGTTTATACATTTAAGGGCTGGAAATTGAAGAATGATCGAGTAGCTGAGCAAAATTCTCTGGTTTTTACTACCACAATCTTCTCCTATTATTTCAGAACTTAATAAAAATCCTGCTATGACTTTCTGGCTTCAAACCTCTAAAATTCTTCTTTTCCTCTCTGCAATAATACATCAGCCGAGGGAAAAAGATATGACAGCACTATTTTTCTTTGGGTTCTCTGAGGTTTTTTTTAACCTTCCAAAAAATCAACATGTGATTCGAGTGCTGAGTGCTGTAAATAGTGAACATGTTTGTTGTGCATGCTATAGTCAGAACTAATGGGAGAACCCCTAATGACCTTTTACAGTTCTAAAATATTGCATACTTTTGTTACCTTTGCTCTGACGTTCTCATATGAAGCTGGGCTGATTATTGAAAAACAAATTAGAAATACATCCTACGAAGCAAGGAACAACAAATAATACATTAGAAAAAATAAAGACAAGAATCCCAATAGCCCACTTCCAAGATATGCTTTGCTTGCTACGTACAAAGGTTTCAGTACATGCTAAATTAAATTAATTCTTTTCTCATCCTGAATCACTGACCATTATGCATGTAATATAAACATGTTATCGTTAATTAATCACCACCGCAAGTACAGCAATGATGCAGAATGGCGATGCAGCTCAATGGGGCAGAAATGAAACATGCGGAGGTGCATGCATGACCCCGGAGCACAGCTCTGACCAGTTTGCTGTCCAAGTTAAAATACTTTTACTCTGATGAAGGACTAGTGATCCGAAACGTCGGTAAGTTTTTTCATCTTTTCATGGTGTCAAATCTACCCCTTTATCATTACAAGTTAATATACTAGTCATCAGTCACTCCAGGATGAATGAACCAAGATTCGTTTTTCATCTGGAACATCTTGCAACTAAACTTACTGTCTGGGGATAGGAGAGTGGCCTAAGTCGGTCATAGTCCTCTTGACCTGCAGTATCCCATAATCCTAGATTAATGGGTCTTCCATCTACCATTACATTAGCAGAATAATTGTCAAACCTGAGAAGAAGAAAAAACATATCAAAAGTTTAAAGAATGTATTTACAGATTTTAATTGATCAAGTCATTTTTATAGTTTGGGATATCTGTGGTACTTAAAACACAGGCAACCCAAACCATTTACAAGGAAAGCAAAAAGGGACTACAGAAACAATATACAAAATAACTGTGCACTCTTCTTAAACATTGCTGCATTAACATTGCATTAACCTTTTTTCAATAGTATTACAATTTTAGGCTTAAGGTTTTGCATCTTAAATTTGAAGTGACCGCGTTCTTTGAGTACAAAACCACATCACTAACAGACATTTAATTGCCTGCTATTTCAAATCATCTAGTATATAATTCCTACAGTACTTACACAGTTGGGATATATTCTCCAGGGAATGCATTGGTTGTATAGCTGATTAGCATACAAGTCTTTCCTACAGCTCTGAAATAATACATTATAAAATATGGTTAAGCTATGTATAGTTCCTTAAAACACCTCAAGAAAATATTAATTAAATGATGTCCGCCAAACATACAATAGCCATGTGAATTAATAAATTTTATTAACAGGAGCTAAAATTCCAGATGGTTAGTTCTAGTTGCAGAAACATGAATCTTCAAGAAAACCTTCAAATGAATTATTGATACCCTTAAACAACATCTGGGCTAACCTAAGTCTGGCTACAGCTAGCTCACAGATGAAATTGGAAATTCTCAATCCAGCTACCCGCAGCTATCTTGCATTTTTCCCATAAAATCAAAGGGAAAAAGCAGTCAAATACTAAGACAAGGCCCTGGTTGTATGAAGAGTGAATAGCGCTATCCAATGGATAAACAAACCTTAACCAGTGGATATCCAATAAATTTATCCACTGGATAAGATTGATTTGTCAGATAGGGCTATCCAGCCTTCACACAACTGGTCCCAGCAGTATATTATTTTAAACACCAGTTTATTTTCTTGAAACAACATTCTTGTCACTGAACAGGGATTATACTAGAGATTACAGATACCAAATACAGTATATACACAGCTATTTCAAAAAAAAGTTGGTTAAGGTTTTGTTGCATGTCGTTAGCCAAGCTTGAAATGTATGATATTCATATGTGAACATCGTGAGCACAGACGAGAATAGACCAGAAAAACATGCAAACAGAGTTTGGGAAAATTTCATATTTCTGTGACCTCTTGCTTATTGTAGTCATATCATCCATAGCACATTTTACAACAACTCACGTAAATAACACATTCTGATTGGCTGAGAGCTATGATCACTAAGAGGACAGACACATGGATGACGTAATGTTTTTGAAA